GTACATTCATACATTTCCTCTTATATATAAATATCTATGCTTGTAGCATAACTGTAACTACATTTCCCATGAGGCGTTGCGGTGTAATACGTCATTGCCGTGCGCAGGGCTGAGGTGGCGTTAGAGAGAAGGTAAACACGTTGGGTTTTGGGGGATTATTGTTTCTAAATCAGATAATTGGACGAAGTTATCTGTAAGCGATCTGTTCATTTGATTGATTGTGTTTATGTAGTGAGACTGTGACTGTCCGTGTCGTCCTCCTGCTGTTTATCCGCTCTCCGTGTTGTAGCAGCAGCGCTAAGCTAACGCTAAGCTAATTAAATGAGTCGCTCGGTACCTGCTCCCTCTCTCTCCTCCAGGTCGGTTCCCGGCGGGGTCTCATCATGACGAAGCTCCTGGAGTGGCTGCTCGGTGTGGCGGTGGTGGTCGCGGTCTGGGCGGTGGTGTCCTTCGACCTGTTGGACCTGAGCCTGCCGCTCGCGTACCGGGAGGTGGCCTGGCCGATGCCTCTCTACCTGTTGGTGTCGTTCGGCTGCTACTCGCTGGCCACCGTGGGCTACAGGGTGGCCACCTTCAATGACTGCGAGGAGGCGGCGAGAGAGCTGCAGGAGCAGATCCGAGAAGCCAAAGAGGACCTGAGGAGAAAGGGCCTGAAGATGTGAAGCTTGACAAGGACCATGCAGAATCTTTTGATGGACTGTTGCACACAACCTGGTATCTGCACTCCTGAGGTTGGAGTCTCTAGTGTGAAATATGTTGGATGGACTTCCTGTTTCCAGCAGTTTCACCCTTCATTCATGCAGCCACGTTTGTTTTTATTCATGTATTAACCAGCATTAGTCGCACAACTGACTGATTTTTGTGTTACTCATAGATGACAACAAATAAGACTGAACTCTGAACTGAACTACAAACCTGTCTATTCAAAGATGTGTCTGAAGTAAAACAAGTTTGCAACATCCAGTTCTGTTCATATCAGCTTGTGGTTGCACTGATGACCATAGAAATAGAAAACCTGTTATACGTTCAAATCACTGTTGTGTTTAATTATCATCTGTGACCAGTTGTTCATCACTGGAATCATCCAGCTTTCAGACAGGCACTGAACTGTATAAGATCGCAAATGTCTGATTCAGAAACTCTGCACATTTGCCAGAACTTTTCCCGCCACCTCAAACTTTACAGGAACTCAGTGTAAAAATAAAGCAGGAACACACAACAGACATAAAACTCTAAAAAATCAAGAGAACAAAAATAATTCAGGATGTGCTATACACGAATAAGATGCAGAAAAGTTTCTGTTGTTTTGATCATGTCTGTTCTGGACAATCTCCTGCTGATTTGCTCATATGTGAAAGTTCAAAGTTCATGTCTGAAAACACCCTCTGACTAGATTCTCAGCCGGGAATTTTTACATTCTTTCAATCTGCGTCAGCTCCGCACAGTGTCGGCCTTGTCGTGCCTGTCTGGAGATTGTTGCTTGTCAGAATACATAGATTGTTATCTGTAGTGTACATTCCATTGTCCGGTTTCAGACCTGTTCCCTGTGGCTATTGCTGCGATGTAATTAAAATGGAGTATATTTTCTTCAGGTTTTCTGCCTCTGACTGTTTGTGTGTCATTGTTGGTCTGGGCTGGTTCAGAAGGTATGCGATTATGTGCATGAATTCTTGCATATATGATGCATATGACCCACATGGCCTGAGGGCTTTACATCAACTGGCCAATGTCTCCCTCTGTGCGAGAGACAGATCTCCTTTGTCCCATTTTGCAGCTAACGACATGGAATATACATTGTACAGCACTTCCTTTGTTCCAATCAGAAAATACAAGTTAAATATGTCGTCCTGAAGAAATCCGATGTTGGCAAGTGCAGGTCTTTTGTGTGATCCTTAAAAGGCTGCCTCTGCTCATTTTCAGTGAGTCCCTGCTGTGAATAAACAAAGCATAGCCTGGCTAAAGGCGTCATTATAGGGTTTCAAAAGCTCCCATAACTTCAGAACAAATGCAAAGAGTTGGCAGTTCTCTGTGCTAGCTCTGCCGGTTGTGCCTTTTGGCTGCAGCCCCATCATGCCTTGCAACGTCACCCCCCGTGAATGTCTGCAAGCTGTTGCTCGAGCAGACTGGATGAAAGGCAACCTGTTATTTACCAGAAAATCTTCGACTGGCAATTACACCAAAGGCTTCCCTCGGCAGGCAGTTATGTTCGTACTCGTAGCCACATGTGAAATAGTTGATCACTTTTTCTTTGTCATCATTCTCCCCCAGAATCTAACTTTGAAGACGTCCATCTGTTTCGTTCTCTTTCTACAGGCTATCAGACAAAAGTATATATCGGAGTGGGCCAGACGTTTTATAGCCCATTTACAGTGCATGTGAACAGCATTTCTCTTTTTAATCCCTTATTCCAAACATGCAGCACATAAGCATTAACCCAGACATAGCTGCGGGCATTTGCATTATAAAAAATGTGATGAAGTGTAATCTCACGCATAGACAGAAAAGTGTTAGAGCTACGCCAACACAGATGACCTCAAACACTAAAGCTTTTTTTTAATATTTATACCATAGTGCATTTCATTACCCCGGCCAAGGAGGTTATGTTTTCATTCCCGTCCATTTCTTTGTCATTGTTTTAGTAGGATTGCACAAAACTGCAGGACAGGTTTCCATGAAACTTGGTGGGTGGATGTGGTTTGGATCAGAGAAGAACCCATTAAATTTTGGTGCTGCTCTGGATCAGATGGTAGATCCGGGGTTTTTGTCACTTTCTTCAACATTGCGGAATATGGTGTTTTTTTAAACATTTTTCTCGATTCCTCAGAGGAGAATCTGATCTCAAGATCAAGATTCAAGATTTGAAAACAGTGACAATGTTGAAAAATCCAACGTTAAAGAAAGAGGAAAGAAATTCCTGTATCCACCCCTTTGCTCGGATCTGCACCAAAGTATATTGGGTTCTTCCCTGATCCATACCACATCATTCCACCACAGTTTTGTGGTTAACCACTTTGTAGTTTTTGTGTAACGCCGCTAAATATGAGACAACCAAACACTGATAAAACATAATCTCCTCATCAGATGTAACAGTGATTGAGTGTCAGGATTCATAAGAGAGGAATCACCTGATAAAGTTGCTGCAGTTACTTGAAACACTGAGAAAAAAATCCATAATAACGACTGGGAAGTAACTTTATATCTCCGCCTGTGTGCTCTCGTGGCTCGGAGGTGAGAGTTTTGCTCCTCTGATGAGAAGGCTGCAGAGAGCTGGCTTTGCATTTCAATGGACGTCTTGAAGATTCAGTGTTGTCGACTTTGAGAGCTGTTATTAGGGTGCATCATTTTAGCAGTGCAGCACTAACAGGCCCGGAGTCTGTGCTTGCTCTATTCAGCTGCCAGCTGATTATCCTCTGTTGTTGGTTTGAAGTCATGTAAGGTCCCTTTTTTTCTGCTCTTCTTTCTTGGGAAATTAATCAGTGAAAACTTACAGGCAGTTGGATGCTTCATATTCTCAAAAATGTTTTATCCTCTGCTAAATTGCTTTGCTGTGCTTCATGTGCATAGTAAGACCATTTCTACCAGGACAATAATAAGATAGATCAAAAGTTTTGCATGGGAGAAATAAAAACAGTCATAGTGTGTCCAAATTATGAGATACATAAGTCAGGATTTAGATTCACTAAATCAAAATAATGAGATGCTAAAGCACTTACTTAGTCGAAATCCACCAGGAATGTACGTTATGCTTTCATGTCTGTTGTTCGCCAACTCAGCGTCTTGCCAGAAGACATTATGTTATTCTGTGGCAAAAGTTGAGTCAGGTTCAATGTTTCTGTCGGACGACCTGTCGTTTTATGTTTGTGTGTGTGTGTGTGTGAGAGAGTATGTGTGTGCTGGCACCATTGCTGCTCTGTCAGACTGAATTACGGAGTTGTGTTTTTTTTAATTATGGGCCAAAGTTGCTCTGAAAGTAGCTTTAATAAGAATTTTGGCTTACAGTCAGTGTTTTATTATTATTCTACAATAAAACACAACTGTACCTACTATATTTTATCCTTTTATTGGTGATTGTTAGCTTTTATACATAGCTTTATTATATCATTGACTGTAGCAGGTCAGATTTGACCTAAAACTAGACGAGTACATAGGCAGGAATATTACTGTACAGGAACTGAATAAAGATCAACCCCATAAAAATGTTTATTTTGTTTTACTAAATCCAGATAATTTTCCAGTTACACAGAGAGGCATTGAGAAATGTACAAAAATGTCAAAAAATGTAGAATCCCACAATGTTAAGGAAAGTGAAAAAAAGAAAATCTGGAACCACACCCTGATCTGGATCTGCACCAACATTTCATGGGATCTTCTCTCGGCCATACAACAACCTAGTTTTTGCATAATCCTGCTGAATAACAAATGACAAACAAAAACATTTTTATCTATTGATTGATTCTTGTATCGCAAAGTGCTTAGTTCTGTACAGTTGTCGGTGTGATCTTAAATCTCTTAGAGATGGAACACGTCTACATGGTGATTTCAAAACACTCTTCAGTTTTTGTGCATGTTTTCTTTTTTTTGAGTGGTTCTCAGGGGATGACAGCCACTTCCCCACTTCTCAGAATTGCTCTTCTCTTGACACTGAGGGAGGCTGAGAAAGACGATGAACGTGCACAGAATGTTCTTCACCTTCTTCCCTCAAAGTGTCACAGTGAGAAGCATCAGTTAAATTGGGAAAAGTGAAACAGGAGGAAATCTAATGGGGGTTGAGCGGGCGGCGGGGTTGTGCCCGCAGCATGGCCCCACTCAGACCTTGAGACACTATAAAAAAAATTTCTAGAGACACTAAAGTGACACTGCTGGGAGCAAATCCATCCAGACAGGCTGAGAACCAAGACTGTAAAATGATAGGTTATCATTTCTCTGCACAGAAAATACTTCTCTTTTCTCCCACCCATACGTTTCACAGCAAAACCTCAAAAACGTCCAGAGACGGGCAGAAGGAGAGACGGGGAGCTGGTAATCGAGGCCCAGAGCTGAAGGAGATGGAGGTCAGATGTATCTGATACAGGAAGGGTGAACAACAATGGCAGGTTGAAAGAGCGACGCGATCTGGAATAGAAACAGACAGATACAGAGAGAGTGAATAAAAAAAAAAAAAGTGGAAGTGAGAGTGAATAAAAAGGTTTGAGTGACTAAGTGACACGGACAGGAAACCAAAAGCATGAGCTGGAACAAGACAGACGACCCAGGCAGCAGCCAAAATTGTATGACAGGACTTTTTCAGGAAGAGAAGACCACACCCTGACCACCGGCGATGGCAGCCGACCAAAATCTGTGGTGATTGAACCCAGAGGCTCCGACTCACCCTGTGTAACTTAAGTGTTTCCTCCCATCAGCCCCCACTGACCCTGACTTAGAGCTTTTAAAGGCCGAAGAGAGAATAAAGGAGCTTCGAAACAGGTCAGCTATGCTAAAACGAAATTTAATCCCAGCATGCAGTGCATCATCACTGCATAAAACAACGATGTGAACGAGGCTGAAGAGTCACTCAGGGGTCAGCCTATTGTTCTTTCCCAGCTCATAAACAGCTGCTCTGATACTTACAGGACGCCGGGTTCCCGTTCCGAGGCGACGACGAGGCTTATAAATGCTACAAATAGCTACACTAACATTAGGTAACCTCCCAGAGGCCCTGTGAGGCAGATACACTCCTGGCTCCTCTGAGGAGTAACATACGCTCGCAGGCAGACAGGGACCGGTCGTCACGCGTCCCGCTGATAGCGATGGCGCGACCCAGTGTGGAGATGCGGAGACGAACCAGCTGCCCACGCCAAACCCATTCTGAATCATGGATCTTTCTCGCTGCGTCTCGTGGCCTCCTCCCAGTTTGTAGTGTCACACACTGTTAGCTCACTTCTCGCTCTGTTTAACACCGATGACTGATAAATTGATTAAAGCCCAGGTTTTTTTGGGGCTTGTTGGTAAATGTTTGATTTAATTTAGCTCCAGTCATGTTGACTTTGAATCAAACATTTGTTTTTCAGAATAAATAAATATACTCAGCGGTCTTCAAAAAAATAAAACTTTAAAATACTCTTCTAACCATCTGGATGAAAAGTATTTCAACTCAAATGCGAAAAGGTTTATCATCAGTTCAAGTCCACATCGCTACGTCTGCCAAGAAGGTTATGGTTTCACCCTCGTCCGTTTGTTTGTTTGTAAGTAAGATTACACAGAAACCACTGGATGGATTTCCATGAAACTTTCCACTTGCAAGATAGGGCGTTTTCAACCTCTAGAATTTTCCCAGGGAATAGTTTATGGATCCAGATGAAAATGAGTGTGTGCATCTGGTGAAGCTTGATTGAATTCAAGGGGATTGTTCGGTCTTGGTGGAGGTGTGTGCTCGACTGAGAGCCATTCTAGAGCACACACCTCGGCCAAGTCCCAACAGTCCCTCTAAGAAACGACATTTAAAATCAGAAGATTCGCATTTTATTTTGATCTGAACCAAATGTCACATTCACCTGTGACACTTCAACAACTGTCACTTCAACAACTGTCACTGTGTCAAAAAAGCAGTTGGTGCAAACTGAATCTCCAAAGATCAATTGCTGTGACTCAAAAGCAAAGAGTTATACAGTCGAGGCACAAGCCGAGGCAGAGAGTTTGATTCATGATCACTTTCCATCTACGAAATGAGGCTTTAAAATCTGATGCAAACATTTTATGTGTTTTTTTCCCCCCTTGCTAAGATTGTGTTCACAGGGTGTTCTTGATTTCCATGTTGGCTCCATGTTTATCTCTTGACTGCCCTTTACATTTATTACAGCGTTAAAGGTTACACACTTGCCACTCACATTTACTCAAGCTGCTCCATCGAACGAGCGAGTAAATAAAAAGAATTGTCTCCTCTTGACGAGCTTCTACTTGGCGGAGCCTCTTCTTAGGGTCAGCGGTTAAGGGGCCTGTCCGCCAGCCTTAATTTATGGCCGTCTCTTTGAAAACACTGGGGAGCTGTGAGGCTGCGGCACCAGTTTTTGGTGCTACAGCTGTTTTTACTGTCACGGCCGTAAAGCTCCCCTGGGAAGAGAGAGACAAGAGAAGGAGAGAGGAGAACAATGGCTTGTCATGCAACTTGCACATGAGCAAAGATTCCGAGGAGGTGTGTGTGTGCTTGTACTTGTAGATTTGTGAGGACCATTTTGAGCATAGACCTTACAGAGTGAGGACATTTTGGGAAAGTACGGACATTGTGGCCAGTTGTCACTTTTTCAAAGGCTTGTTTGACTTTGGCTTTTAGGGTTAAGGTTAGAATTAGGGTTAGGCATTTAGTTGTGATGGTTAAAGTTAGGGTAAGAGGCTGGCTAATGTGTTACAGCAATTAGTGTCCTCAATAAGATAGAAGTACAAGAATGTATTAGGATGGGTGTTGTAGATCGTGGTAGAAGATTTCCAGAAGCGTGAGATGAAAGTCAAAGCATCACACCTGTGATTTCATGCCAGAAGGCAACCCTGATGGCTCTCCTTTTTTTTCCTTCATCTCTGTGCTGTAGCCTTTTCCGGTCTTGGCCATGATTTGGTTCAACTCTGTCCCATTAGTGTGGGTGAGCCATTATCTCTGTGATTGGCTCCACTGATGAGATCTTCCTGTTTGAGAAACGGTTTGGGTATTTTCCTGAAATTGTTTTAGCACCAAAATCACCTTATAGTCTGGATCCAGAGAGAACAATTGATCTTTCATTTATAGGAGGATGATTGTGTTCGGAAGCTGGATTATTGGGTTTTATTTAGAGGAGATGATTACAAATTTATCCAAATACATATGTAGTGAAAACAGAGAACCTACAGTTGTTGCTTTGAGCTAAATGCAAAAGCCAGCATGGCAACAAACAATTGCAATGCTGCCATATTGATATTCAGCTTGTTTAATGTTTACCATTGTCATCCTTTGTCATGCTAACTTATGCTAATTGCTAAACACAGCACTGCTGAGGTTGATGGGATAATATACAAGTTAACATTATGACCTGATCATGGCACTAGATGAAAAGATAAAGGATGGAGGATGTCGAGTGCTTGCATCTTATTGATAACACGACTCTATCCCTAATTCGCTACCCAGGCTGGCTCCAAATGCGGAATATGGCAGTGTCCATAACATGGGTATTTTGGCTTCATTTCTGGATAGTGACAGGAAGTGGAGACACCTCGTTAATCATTATTCACACTCTTCGGGATAACTAAAGAAGGCCTGCACAATTCTTTTCATGCTTAAGATACATACAGGCTGACCAACTCAGCAACAAGTCCCTAAACCAGAATATAAATATAACTTTTATAGTTACGGCATTAAAGTTACATTATTATGCAGAAATAAAACCTTCTATGGCCTTGCATCATAGTTAATCACATCTCGACCACATCATGACGTTGAAATATGAGAGTATAAACACTGTGTGAGAAGAAATGGCTGCAACACACTTTTTAACTGCTGGTTAGAAAGCTGCATTTAAACTTTATTTTGTTGATGCTGGAGAGGCAGTCTGACTCTGATTCAAACCCTCTGACACAACAGATCAATAGGCCTTCAGACAAATTACTTCGGGACAGGCCACAGAATGCAGGAAACCACCTTGAAAACTTTCACTGCTTGCAAGAATATAACAAAACAAGGAATATTGCTCTTGGTGACAGGCCTGCAGGAAGCAGTGTCATACCTTGACCCATGCCAGCCGTACCATGCTCCAGTGATCATGCCTCTGTAAAGTAATCACAAGAAAGCTGATCTGGTTTTCCAAAAATATCTTTTTTTATTTCACATGAAATGTTCACATTTAGAATATTTATCAAACAGGTCTTCCATATAATCTTCTATATATATTTATATATGTACATATCATACACTTCTTTTTACTTACAGATGTACAAAATCAGGTAACAAGAATTCGGATAAAAAAAGACTTGACTTCAATGGTAGTCATACACTGTTGTGCTTCGTTGATCAAGCTAGCCTGTCAGGTGAAGATGTGCTCGGCGTCTCGCTTTGAGGCCTTGTCTTGTCTTCTGCGAACTGGTGACTCATTTCAAAATCATCCAAAAAACTTTGATGTTATTACAAGTAAAAATAGTTGATTGCTTACTTTTTTTCTTTTTTAAGTATTTGCCTATTTTCTGCCTGGTGTTGGAAACATGAAGGGCAGCACCATGATAGACAGGGTTGAAAAAAAAAATAACAACCAGCTCTTCGTGTCAGACGGTTGAACCAAAACAGGAGCAAGATCCAGCACGCAGAAAAGTCCAGCCTCTCTGTGATACACACAACATCTCAGTGTTTGCTTTTGGCAGAAAAACATTTTGTCTCGTCACGCTTGCGATCAATCGCTCCGTAGCTCGCACACAATCTCTTCCTCTCACTTCAATACGCACACTTTTCCTTTCACACAAGTACAAACTCTACCAGGAGAAAGAGAGAGATGAAGCCTCACCACCCTCCCCTCGCTGGCGACAGTAAACCTTTCCTTTCAGAAGCTCATGGTATTTACAGTAAAACGTCCCAGCTGCAAATGCTATAAATTATCTTCACAGAATGTACAAGTTACACAGCTCAATGTTGTGTGTTTCCATGTATTACAGAGTGTCAGTGTGATTTTTGAATTGTGTGCGTCTGTACTGTGCAGAATTAGTGCTACAGTATAGAAGCACATGGTCGAGTGTACAAAAAAAAGGATGGTTGCGATGCCAGCAGCACCCGTGTGTCAATGCTACATTTAGAGAAAGTAATCACTCGGGACGTCAATGCAACTCCATACCGCTACGAGAACAATACAACAAATAGTACACAACTCTAAAGGGTGGAATAGTGTATAAATTGGAGAGATGACTTATCTTTGGCTCAAAAGGTAAGAGATTACTTTTCCGTTAAATGTCCATATGAAGTTTTATCTAACGGGTTGGTGTTTTTGCTCTTGATTGTTCTCTGGCCTCTCCTCCACTTCTTCATATTTTCTTCTGGGATTATCATCCAAAGAGGTGCATGTGTTTTGGCCAGAGAGCCGACCAAAAGTACAAATCAAGGAGAGGTTGGTTTTTCCAAGAAAAACATACCTTTTGAAAAATAAGACAAAGCACATGAACTTTGTCTCAAATGCTCTGGAGCTTCTCGGCACATGTTGCGCAAGTCTGCGATGTCCGTGCTTTGCAAGCACAAAAAAAAATCCCCCTGTGGCCAGCACTGGGCATGAAAAACTGTCTTTTTGAGTCAATGGTTTCATCCCCACGGACTGTCTTCATTGTAGTCCCTGAAAGAAAAAAAAAGGTCTGCCAACAGCAGTTGTTTCATGTCCTCTCACTGCAACAATAGCAGTAATGAAAATGGGACTAGCAATGAGAGGATTGAGAGGGATGTAGCTGCCACTGCAGAGTTCGTCCGTACGCTCTTCTGGACATCTGGCAGGATTACTACCGGGTCATCTGCTTGAAGATAGGAGATAAAGAAGACGCATTACTACCACATATTTTACACCCCGACGCTAATCCTGAATGTACCTGCATTGTTCTGAGGTCATGTATAATTAGAAAAGGAAGCAGGGGTGGTCAACATACCTGCAGGCAATCTGTTGGAGGGGTTATGAACCCCGCCCCCGGCTCCAACTCCAGCCCCACCTGTGCCTCCTTTAGCCACTCTGGCCTCCTGGGAGCCTGGAAGGAAAAAAAAATGCCATCAGTTCCTCTGCACGACTATTAGAGGTGACAGTGCAGTTCGCTTCACAGCCAGGGGGTTGGTTACACTTACCATCAGCGGCTACAACGTCCACACGGAGCCTGAGGCACTCTTGTCCGTGGTGGTGCAAAGGCTTGGCTGCAGAAACAAAAACACAAGCGTTAACATCCTAACTTAGGCACTTATCCTACACTGGCCCCTTAATCCACCTTCATGCACACACAAAAACACACACTTGGCAGCAGACAAGACACAGAGACAAAGCTTCAGGACGCCATCTGTGACCAGGCGAAGTGTGTCTTGTCCTGCCGTTTAGCTAATTACAGCCATGGTCAGGGTGACAACACTTCTTACTCTCTGTGGTCATATTATAGCAAGATGAGTGTTGCATAAACTTGGCAAACTGAGATGGCACACTGGTTCATGTCCGTGAAAACCTTCTAAGAGACGACTGAGGAAATACAGAATACAAAAACCACCCAACTCTGCCGTACTTCAGACTTGTTCAGAGTGGAGATTTTCAGCAGCATGGATGTAGGACTGGCAATTACAACTGGTAGCTGATCTGTCAGTCTAAAGCCCCTTTACCACTGGTAAAAACACCCACTAACATCTGGCTTTTGGGAATGGATACAATCGGCATTCACTTCAGGGACAAATGACTCTGTAGTAGACGCAGGTTTTAATCGTCTCCGATTGGCAATGATGGAAATGAGACACACGGGTGAACACGCCAATTTGGCCAAATAGGAAGGTGAGAGAGCTGTTATATGCCACCAGTGAGTTGCAGTTTTGTTTGAAATGTCTTGGATGGATTGCCCTTAAATTTAGTATTTGACTAAATCTTAATATTTTCATCAAGTCATCATTTGGTCAAACTTTTTATTTGCTAAACAATTTGGCTTATGACCAACCTCCAAAACTAATGACATTGCCTTTAGCTCTAAATATATTTAGAGCTCAGTCCAAATTAGCAAATGCTATTGTTCTAAACTAAAATGTTGAATATGGGAAACTTTGGAAACATTAGCATTTATCTCAGAGCTGCAACTGTTGCTGCAGACTCTCATGCAAACATTGGAAAACAGTGAGGGCAGAGAAGATCTGAGCGAAAGCTATACTTACAGATATAATAGTAGCTTTCTCCTTGGCGGAACTCCTTTCCCAGAGTAAACGGAGTAAAACGCTGGAACTTTTCAGAGAACTTTTCAGGGGCGTGAGGGGCAAACGGGTGGCCGCACTCCCAACGCATCTGGTCGTACGACTGGGGTTTGCAGGAATCGTAGTCCTCGCGCTCGACCATGTAGAGCACGTACCGCTCAGCATCCAGCAACGGCACCTCGCCCTCGGGGTAATGGGGGCAGACGATGTCCAGGTAGTCATTGAGCTTCACCTCCACAGCGTAGTTATCCCATAGGAACCTGGAGGGAGGAGGCAGAGCAGGGTTACGCAGGTGGCAGGAGACTGATAACCATGGTTATAGCATCGGAGCGGTAATAAATATAATCCTCAAAACCTGTGATTATATATTGATCGGCTGCACGCCAGTGTACAACAGGGAAATCAGAGGAAAGACTTAGAGGTCTGGGAATATGAGATAGAGAACAAGATAGAGGGAGAGAGGTTGTGTGTGAGGATACATGTGTGTCGGAGAGGAATGAAGAGAGAAAACGCAATAAGGCGAAGAGTGAGCTGCAGAGAACATGCGCATAAATATGGATGAATGTGTAACCAGTGTAGCTGCTGCTGCTGCTGTGAGTTAGCAGTGAGTGCACATTGATCCCATGTCCCACAGGAGTTGATTGATGTTTACAGAGAAACATTAGCAGTCAGTTAGCCCGGCAAGACAGGAGATGAGTATCGACATCTGCAGGGCTGCACACACACACACACACACACCCCCACACACACACACACAATGAGAGGGAGGCAGACTCCTTAATGACAAATTCATCTCCAGAGAAGCAGAAACACACCTGAGTTTACTCGACACAGGGTTAAAAATAAAGGTCATACTCGTTTTAACCCATTCATTAGGGTCAGAGTGACACGCAGACAAACACAACACGAGTGTGCAACCGCCTCCTCCCAAACTCCCTCTCATTACAAATACAGAGAGACAGTCAGACTGTCTGCCTCCCCTCCATTCCTCCCTGCATCCCTCCCTTCGCTCCTCCACCCTCTTTACGATAGTCTTTAAGTAAACTACACATCCACCCTCTCGTCTTTAGACCCGAGTCCAAACAGTCACTCACAGAAAACCATTGATACGGCCGAGTTAACCCGCACTCATGGCAGGTTAAATTGGCTCTATCCCAACGGCCCATAATTCCTTCTCCCCTTTGGATATTTCTTTCAGTGATGTTATGAGCTTATCTCCGGGGAATCGTCACTTAAAGGTATTTCAAGCTTTGTCCCTTTTCTCCTGACTGAGTGACCGCTCTGGGGGCGGCTCACAGCTAATGCTCCCCCCTCAGCCAAAGCCATCTATCACTGGCCTGGAGCTCTATCTGGCCACTACCAACACACACACACACACACACACACACACACACACACACACACACACACACACACACACACACACACACACACACACACACACACATTTCCCAGTAAGTCCCATCATTCAACAACCAAAAGACACACACACAGAAATACACACCCACACCCTGGTAGTGGGATCCCATGTGAGGACTATCAGTTTACTATCTCCTACTGTTTTGGATCACCAGGGGTTCCCTGAGAATGGATGATGTTTGACAGACTTAAATATTTTCACAACACACCAGGAGAATGTGTGTATGATATAAGGTTTTGTTGCTTTTGCAATCAATACACGCACGGTCCAGCAAAGCTTTCAGCAGCTCAAAAAGAAAGAGGCGGCCAGAACAGCATGAGTTAAGTTACTGGCTGCTATTTAATCAGAGCTACAGATCTCTCGGAATTAGTTCTGTGTTGTGCTAATCTGACATTTCTGTCTCTTTTCTGTGAGGAAGAAGGTGTTTTCTCATAAAATGCAACAAGGAAGCATTTGGGGGAGTTTGTGTGACAAGGTCCATATGTGTGACGGTAACGATCAAAGTGCACAGGCGCCGGCCCCCGTCTCTCATTAGCCTGTGTTGTTGTTTGCTGCCAGGGGTGTCCCTGGTACCCCCCTGGTAAAAGGACAGACGCTGTGGCTCCAAACCACCGGGCCCTGACTCCTGCTCCCCTCCTCCCCTTTACCCCTCTCTGCCTGACTGCATTCCCTCAATACTGATGACCAGATTAGCCGGCAACACTGTTAACAACAGCAATTCGGCCCTGTAGGAAAACAAGCGCCTTTTTTATTACACTGATGAAACTTCCATCTAAAGTGTGCTGATAGCAGCGGAGCTCCAGCCAACTTTAGGGGGGTCGAGAGCAATAATTATAATTTCGCAGAGGTCTAGACGGCTTAGTGCTTATCTGCCATTTGCCTGCCACGCACTGTTTACCAGAATGGTGCTGAAGTGTTTTTCCCCCCTGCCACTTTCAATTCTAGTCGAATCGGCAACACTATTGAACAAACACTGATGTCTGCTTTTGCCTGACAGAGTTATCATCCCCCGGCAAACCCCCGACACCCGAGTCCCCTCCCTCACCCTGAGCCCTGATTACAAACTGGTCATGGTATGGTCCCAATGTGTTCATCAAAAGGGGGTCGAAGGGGGGCGCAATTAAAACACAAAAAAGGGTATTAAAGTTGCCCTGGAGGGGGGTAATTATGCTCTCCTGCTACCCACTTCCCAGCCCCTTTAGGCCGAGAGTTTGGGAGGGGTGCAGAGGGCATGAATAGGTGTGGGAGGGGTGGGTGTTTTTTTTTTTTTTTCAGTGAGTGTTTCTGTTTGAGTGCTACAGTTGCTTCATCAATGCCACCGTTTCATACAGCGTCTCTATTCACAGCGCTGATGGAATACCTCACTNGGGGGGGGGGGGGGGGTCAAAGGCCTTGAGTTGGGAATGGCTTTTGAAGTTTCTCTCAGTGAGTGTTTCTGTTTGAGTGCTACAGTTGCTTCATCAATGCCACCGTTTCATACAGCGTCTCTATTCACAGCGCTGATGGAATACCTCACTTAGCAGAGAGGACGACGGCTGAATGCGCACCCGAGGAGGCCGGCTAGCGCTTTTTTATTAATGGCAAATAGTTTTAATTATCCCTCTGCCTTTTGTTCCCCTCTAACGCCTCGGCATTGAAACGCTCCACATCATCGGCTTAATTAACTGATTGCAGCGACGCGGTTCAAAGAGACGCTCTAGCCCTGGTGTGAGAAGGTTTAACTAACTAATTCAAATCATGCCACCACCACTTTAGCGGACAAACTCCTCTCTGTCTCCCCCAGTGTGCGTCCTTTGTCATTTCCCTCACTGCAAACTGTTTCTCTCTCTGCGTCAATAGGCTGTGTTGATTTATGCCCGTCGTTTATCCCAGAATGCTCTCTTTCGATGACAGTGACGCAGCTTGAAGTAACAACGTTGAGGAGTTTTCGTATTCTCTTGTCGAGAATGATTTGTGGAACTATGGCAGCTATGCGGAGAGGACTGTGTGTCTGTGTCTCTGAGATATTTAAATGTGCGATTGTTTATGTTGTGTGTGTGTGTGTGTTTGTGTGTGTGTTGTGTTGTGTCTGTAGAGCTTTGAGGAATCTGGGAGTGTGTTTCGGTGTGATACGGTTGATAATGAATGTCAGTAATGAACAACGATGATAGCAATGAGTCAAAGGGTGTGTGTGTGTGTGTGTGTGTGTGTGTGTGTGAGATTACACTGTCTGATGAAAACTAGCCCACAGACTGTTCCCGGTCACTCTTCCTCCTCTCCTGAGAAGGAATTCCTGATTTATTGAAGCCTCTTCAGGAGCAAGAGTCTAATCTCCCTTCTTTAATCTCTCCGGCCAGCGTTTTGCTTTCTTCTCCACCTCTGCCCCCTCCTTTCATCCATCCATCATCCTCTCATCTCTGCACTCTATCGCCCTGTGGAATGCTGGACCTCAGAAGCGAAAGAGGCCGCGACGTGGATCAAAAGGTCGGACTACCGCCAAGTCAGCACCGGAGAATTTTCTGTGCGCCAACAGTCAGCACTGAGCAGCCTTGTGCACTTTTAATTCTATCGGGAATCACTCTCTTTAAAAGTCTATTTTAAAGTCGTAAAGGCTGTCGCAGGACAAACTACACATATCTGACCACTGCATCTAAAAACAGGGGCTTGAGTCTAACTAACCTGAAGCCCACACATTCACCATGAGCACATACACATGATCATGTTCCTCCTGTTTAACACATGCTACCAATGTGACCCAAAAGGTGACCGACCAACGTCACAGATGGGTGAACCGGAATGTGAGGACCACCTAATCGGCTCGCTCAAGCCTGGATTATTGGGTTGACCAGAGGCTGAGCTTGGGTCCATTCATTAGCACCAGACCCTGCTTAATACAGGGGCTTAGAGTGGACAGCGAGGCCCAGAGCAGGGGCCAGGTCCCTGGGTACAGATTGAGGGGTGAGACAGGCAGGGTGGAGCTTTTTTTTCTCTATTGTTCTGGGGTATTACTCCTTTACACTGGAGTTTTGGAGTTGAAAGAGACACAGTGACTATGACTGTGTGTGTGTGTGTGTGAGTGTGTGTCCGTCATCACAGAAGAGGAAAGTGTGATGTGTTGACAGAATAATTAACGACACTGGACGTAAGGGAGCTGTTTCTTTCAAGACGTGTCTGTGAAAGCTACGTGACTCCACGAGGGCGGTGGCACATCTGAGGCACATCGCCAGCCAAGTTGAGCAGGACTGTTTAACGTTACCGCTCAAACTCATTTTGTTTCATCCGTCCGTCCATTCATCCATCAATGTCGGCCGCCCCCTCCCACTCTCTGTCCGTCTTTCATCGCTCAATAAGCAAACCAGATCCTCATGTCAACTCTGTCCCTCCCTCCCCCCTCATCCCAAACTTGCTGAACCAATCAGAACCTGTCCCAGTGGTATTCCAAATATGCAACTTTCTGACCCACTGTTTGCAGATCCAAGCACAAAGCGGCGTGGGTATGCTGGGGGTCGCCATAGAAACAAATATGGTCTTACTCTTTCAGCTCCTCCCTTTTTACACAATATTCCAGCCTTTCATTCATTCGCACCATGTGACTTTTCATCATCCGTCTCAATCAGCTTTCTCCCTGTCCTGCCATTCAACCTTTGTCTCTCTGGATCATTGGTCATTCCGCTAGCAATCCTGGCTGAACTCGCTGGGCTCCTTTTTTTTTTTGCCACCCGGCAAAATGACAAACCTTTAAGTTCAGCAGAGAAATAATTGGAGTCCTGAGTCCACTACTGCACTAAGGAGGCTTAGATGAATTCATATGCTCTTTCCAACTGTCCCACGCTGTCCCCTGAGCCATTTGTATCTTATAAG